TCTCCTCCAACTCTGGTTCAGCCTGCAGGCCGTCAATTTCCCAAATTACTGCTCAGATCAGACTCTTTTTTTCTGGCTGTTAATCTTCATTTCAGGATCTGTTTCCGATACGACCTGGTGGGGATGTTGAAAAAATCTATAAATGTGCAGAATCACAGCAACACAAAGACATTTTCTGAAACACCTGAGGTTGTTCTGATCACATTTCATCCTTCTTTGTTGCTCCGTAACAACTTTCTCTGACGGGAGGTTTAAACCATAAAGAGCTGAAAACATTTATATCGAATCATCCTGCAGAAGACCCTGAATTATTTCTGATGTCGAAGTCTTTAAAGGAGCACTTCACTGATTCTACATGAAGATCAGGTAACTCATCGACAGTAGAGCTTCTCAGCTTTGAAAACTGTTGTATAATGTGTGTTGTGGCTCTGGAGCAGTTTTCTAAAGTCTCCCAAAAATAACTGCGATGATGTTGTTGAGGTTATCGCTGGATACTACGAGTTAATAACAGAAGGACTGCTGTACAAACTGAGGCCGTGGAGTTTGAAAGATACGAGTGTGTGCATGGCAGCAAAGGTCTATGTAGAGGCTCTGTGGATATACTCAGTGATTTCAAGCATCAGGAAGTTAAACTGGAGTTACAGCAGCAGAGATACGTGTTTAATTCACACAGAGAGAGGTGTTAAACAGGTGGAGCTTACAGGCGTGTTCTTGCTGTGTATGTAATTTGCATGTTGTTGACGGCAGTGATCTACTTTAACTCTGTTTTGTTTAAAATTAATAGCATTAGTTCAGGGAGGACACGATGTCCAGCTCAACTCACATCCCAGCCACATCAGCTGGTGGATCAGCTGATAGATCACATGATTATTTTCTATGCAACCAATCAGCAAATCTCCTTCTCTCGCCTTATTTAAACTGCTCTGGCCTGCCTACTGTTGCTGCTTCCTCCGCCAGCCGCTTTGCAACCTGCCTCCATCCCAGCTCCTCCTTTTCATGTTGTGTCTGACTTAATAATGTTGTTTCTGTTTGTCATTCATGCTCCCTGCCTTGGTCTTTCCTCGTATGCACATGGAAGGGTAGAGGTGATCAACTTTGGTGATCATCTGACCTCTAATCTAGCGCCATAATCAGGTCAAAATTTTAAGCTGTCCAAATACCTGTAAAACTAATGACATTCCCGTCAGCCTCAGCTGGACTTAGTCTGTTCGTTCCCAGTCACAGTGAAGTGGAGCTACAGGTCCAGCTGGACGAGGACATCTAACTGGCCCACTGTCCTTGTCCCAGTATACAAGCACGGGAGGGGAATCCATTTATTGACCCAAGTATGTATGACTCCTCTACGATAGGTGGAGATATGCCCCCTTTCAGCTTGTTAGTATTGGACCTTTTTCCTGTTGACCTATTACGTCACAGACCAAACAATGGACAAACAAGTTAGCTATGGTTAGCTAGCAGCTAACTGGTACCATGGTGGACAACTTTACAGCTCTGTACATTTGGTCCGTCCAAAAAGTCACGGCTCTGGATGTAGATTTCTCCATGTTGTTACTGGCTTCTTCTTCTCTTACACATTTAATGCTATTGGACTTCTGGGTCAAAGCCCGGGGCGGGAACTGTGGAGCATGCTCAGAGCGCCTCGGCCAGTTTGGGTCTGATTGACTGTATACATGCAGGAGTCACATGATCTGAGTGTGTTAGTCCCACTGTGAGCAATTCACTTGAGGACCATTTCACTCACACTGACATGTTTACAGGGATTTTAAATAAATCAATTTTCTCTGTCGTCATGGAAACGCACTGACTGTCTGTTGAGGAGTCTGTGTCCGCTGGGAGTTATAGGCTCCCAGGTGACACAAGAAGAAATATTGTATGAGATTTGGATTAATAGGATCTTAAATCACCACTTTAATTGAATCAGTTGATCCTTGTTTTAAACGTTTTTTAAATGCTCTTGTTATTAAGACCTTTGTGATGCTGTTCATGCATGAAAGGTGCTGAATAAATAAAGGTTATTACCATTTTTTCTGCCATATATCCCATAAAGCCTACAGACTGGATCTTTAAAATTTGGTAAAGTCAAACATTAGAAAACAAACTGCGGTATATTCATGTTGAGGGCTGGAGGGACGGTGTGTTAATTCCACTCTGGGTTGAAAGAAACATGGCTGTGCAGCTTTCTGCTCTTTAGACTGATCAGAAAAACATCACATTTATGTCACATGGGAGGATAAAATAAAAGCCTTTATGCTGCGGAATAAACAGAGCGTGTGACTGCTGGCAGCCTTAATGTGCAATTTAAGAGAGCAGTAGTCCCTAATTTAATCAAATGTGCTGCAGTGCTCCGACGTCTGAGGACAGTTGAGGCCTGAACCATAAACACAACGTGTCCACATCACAGAGTCGAAGCTGAGGAGACGGAGAGCTTCGAAATGTTTCAATCATCCAACTCAGCTTCAGTTTCCTTCTGTGATATTGACCCTGTAAACCAGAAGTGTATTAATGTACTGCTGTAATTCCCCCTTTTTCATTTATGAAACAAAAGATTAGCGGACAGGACGGAGCTCGTCTGGTTCTCTGCTCCTCACTCGTAAAGACAAAACCTCCCGTGGGACGTATAACAATCTTTAAAGCTGAGGCTCATTGGTATTCCTCCCTGCCTGTTATTATTTTTCTGGCTCTAATCTAAAATGACTTCAGTCGTAGAAATGAGCTCACGGCTCGCTCACGGCTCGCACACACACACACACACACACACACACACACACACACACACTGATAATTTGCAGAGGAATAAAAAACAACAGAACAATAAAATAACTTGGCAGAGAAGCACTTTAAACTAAAGCAAACAGTCCCAACAAATGGTGCTTATTTATTCATAGAGGTAGCCTCATTTCCATATAAATGTACGTGACCTATGGGAGGCTTGTTTGTTGTTTAGATTCGCTCTGAGAAAGCAAACAAAAATCTAATTTCTTAGCAGCATTTTCTGCGGCGGACAAAGCATGTGGCCATTATTCCTCCTTGTTAGATATTCTTTGGTCGTCTCAAAATCTGATTTCGCAGGCTGCTATCTCAAATAATGCTGTGTGTGTGTGTGTGTGTGTGTGTTTGAGACTTTCATAATATTGACTCGCAGCTGTCATTGTGTTTCCACTTACTCCTGCCGCTGCATCTCTCAGGTGGAGCTTTTTGGTGGCAGAAACACAAAATGGCTCTCTCCTCCGGCAGATGGTGGAGGATTTTTTTCTCCTCTCTTCGTAAAATGGAACTCAAGCAACTAACAACACAATGAATAATAAGTTGTTTATTGAGTTATTGGGCCTGGCGGCAGGCGCTCAGGCCTGTGCCGTAATTGTCCCTGTCACCGGGGAGCTCACGGTTTCTCACATCGAAGGCTTCGTTTGTGTGTTACGCAACATCAGAATTAGGGAGGGTGTCGTGGGATGTGTAGTTTTTTAGATGAGGTGCCAAATAGGACAGATAGTGAGCATGGTGATTCTTTTTTTACTTAAAAGCCTGTCAACACTCGGAGTAAATATCACAGTGAACACGGCTGCAGGCGTTTGTTTTCTATCGGGAGACGTCACTGCTGTTTATTAAGTTTTGAAACATGGAGCACAAACTGAACAGATGAGTGACGTTCCCCCTCGTGAGCGCTCAGATTAACGACCGAAATGATCCGTTATTAGCAATCACTCTGCTTAATCCAATGATGAACCCTGAAATCAGCCGTCTGTATCAGTGTGTCGGCGCTGATGGTGGCATCTGTCACGCTGAGCACCTCATCACAGCCCAATTAAAGATGAATATCCATCCACAGCTGTGATTGATTCTGCAGGCCTGCGACTAATGATTCTTTTAATTAAAGCAACACTAATCAATAAACAACAGATCACATGACTCTGATGTGAGAGGAACAGTGAGGTATCATCTGACGCTGCAGCTCCTCTCAGCGCTGTGCGCTTTAGCTGCTTTTAGCTCGTTGTTTTGGTTTTGTTTTCTCTTCCTGCTCCGAACAACCAGCAAATAATTAAATAAATAAACCATCACCAGATGTCAGACGAACAAAGTCAGAGACAAACACTGAACACAGTGGAGCATTTAGCAGCTGTAGAGACAGATATTCCCCTCAGGAGGTGGTGGAGACCAAACCGGAGCTAAAAGAAGAGTGAATGTTGGACTTGTGTTCATCAGGTGGACAGAAACACGACTCTATATCTTCTTAATGCAACAACATGGCTGCTAATACATTAGCAACTTTATAAGGTCAATGTTGTGTTTTCAGTTTGTTCTGCATCTCCAGCTTGAAGAAAAAAATTAATTATCGCTGCCTTTATGATTTTATAATTCTTCTTTTTAAATGCCTCAGTGCCAGAGACAGCTGCGGCTGGAGGCATTATGTTTTCAGGTTGTCTGTCCATCCATCTGTTCCATCTTTGTGAACGCAATATCTCAAGAATGCCACAAGGGAATTGCTTCAAATTTGGCACAAACGTCCACTTGGACTGAAGAATAAACTGATTAGAATTTTTGGTCGAAGGTGAAAGGTCAGCTTGACTGTGACATCATCATGTTTAAACGTCATATCTCAGGAACAGAAGGGGAGACATTTGGTCAGATACTGAATTGAAACTGTGCTGATTGTATAGATCATACAACCACAGGGTGGTTTGTTTGTTTGTTTGTTTTCTTTGTTTGTTTTCGTCAATTCATTTGTTGCTGATTAAATGACTTAAATAATTAATGTTATAAAAATTCAGTTGAGCGACTTATTTATCAGTAAGTTGAGTAAGTGTCATTAGATTCACAGCAGCATCTGACTGATCCTCAGTGTTAATGTCAGAACAGAAACAAGGATTAAAGTTTAAATACAGATCCAGTGTGTAGCTGCCTGTGTGTAACTGTCTGTGTGTAGCTGTCTGTGTGTGTACAGTCTGTCACATGTCTTTATTTTAATGACCATATTTCTGTGTTTTATCTCTGATCTGCTGCAGTGATCTTACGGCTCATGTGGAAGTCTGTGGACAAGATGAGGTGTTTCAGGAAACGATCCATGTTGCCCTTCCTTGGCTTCCTCATCATCTTCCTCCTCTTCTTCAACCTGTACATGGATGATGGATACGTGCTGGTGAGATCGATACCTGTGAACATCTGTCCAGTTACTGGAACTTTGATTTTATTACTGGTGAAAAATAACTGAGTACATTTACTCAGGTACTGAACTTGAAAACAAGTCTGAGGAACTTTACATCAATATTTTCTCGTCGTGTCACTTTATACTTTCACTCCGTCACAGTTCAGAGGGAAATGTTGTACTTTTTACTGCAGGATATAAATTTGACAAATAAAGCCTCATTTCCATATTAATATTTACTAGTCCATACCCATTGAGTGCACAGTTGCCCACGTACAGTTTCACATAGTGTGTGTTTGGGATACAGGTCATAGGAAATTGCAGATTAAATAGTCAACTGAACCCATTAAGAAGAGCAATGTATTCAGACAGAGTGTTTGTGAATTTGATAGTATGATTGCTTTATTGAATGTTCAGTAGTACCATTGCCAAAAGTGGGAAAGTTAGTGGGCTAAAACTGTACATTAGTAGTTGAGGTAGCACGTTGAAAGGCGGATAGTTAAAGTGTTTATATGTTGTATTGACTTAAAAGTGGGGCGCACTGGTAGTTCACATGGGAAAGGTGCGGCTAGCCCTTGTTGCAGCGGGTCCATGTCATTGGTCCGACATCCCATTAGTTCGCCTGTCCGCGGTGCTGAACGGCTTATTTCTACCTTGATGGTGCGCCGCGACTGGCTCTGGGTCAGCTGGGAAAGGCTTGAGGCGAAGCAGACTCACAGCTTATGTGTTTGTCACTTTCTTTTTCATTTTAACCCACACCATGATCTTTTCCTGACCCTAACCAAGTGGTTTTTGTGCCTAAACCTAACCAGACCTTAACCACAGGGCATCATGATGATTTCGGAACGGACTTCGGAACAATGGGTTTAATGTGGTCGGAACAATGGGCTGTCGGATCAATGGGCAGTTCCCATTGCAGCAGCATACCATACCATGACAGTCATACCAAAAATTAGAAAAAAACAAAAACATTGGTCCACAGGGGGAGCCACAGCGATCGGTCACATTTTAGCCATTTTTAAGCATTTTTCTGTTGTTATAGCGCCACCCAGTTGCCAATTAGAGTTAAATTTCTCCAGTCACCTTGAGGCACCCTGTTCTACATATCTACCATGTTTAGTAAAAATCGATATGGCGGTTAGGCCTAGATAAGAAATTAGCTCTCTAGCGCCCCCATTTTGTTTGATGGGGTCAATAATGGAGGGGTCCCCTCAGATTATGTGTGGTCATATGCCTACAAAGTTGCGTGGTGATGGGTGAAACCCTTGAGATGTTATACACCTTTATGTGATGAGCCACACCCTCCGCAATATTCATTGCCTTATAGAAGCTCAGTTTTAGTAAGTTTTCCAACTTTTGCCAAGAGGGAACTTTAGATATTGGTCCCTAGATTATGTTCACCCAGTTTCATGCAGATCTCTCAAACTTCCTAGGAAGAGATCGATTTTAAGTGATTTTCAAAAAAATCAAAATGACAGAAAATCTATATAACCAGAAGTTATGGGTTCTTGTGGCAAATGTGTTCCTCATGAGGAGAGGCATCTCTGTGCAAAGTTTCATGTCTCTACGACATACGGGACATGAGATATGCCCATTCAAAGTTTGCAATTTCAATCAGTTGCTATAGCGCCCCCCTTTGGCCAATTGATGTAATATTGCTTCATTGGCATCCTCCCATGACCCTCTACCTCTGTGCCAAATTTCACATGGATTGACCAAGTCAGTGAGGAGAAAAACGTGAAGAGGCAGACTGGAGGAGCCAGGGATCGGACCACTGATCTTCCAATTGGTGGACGGCCCGCTCTACCTCTGAACCACAGCCTCCCCACATGGACCCAACAATAAACTGACTGGATTCTAGTTTAAAGTTTAGATGTTTGTGCCGTTAGTTGGACGAAACAAACATTTTAAAGGTGCCACTTTGGACTCTGGGTAATGATGATGTCATCACTCAGTACTGCTAAATTTTTACAAACAGAAAGTCTGTCAAAATCAATCAAATCGACTGTTTGGTCAAACATGGTGTTCGTACTTAACTTAATCTGAATCCTTCTTCCACTTCCGGTTTTCACTGAGTGTGTTCTTGCTTGTTTTTCAGGAGGCAGAGAAAAGGCAGCTGGGAGAGACACTGATGCATCCTGTGAACTCTGAGAGATACGTCCACACATTCAGAGATCTGTCCAACTTCTCTGGGACTATTAATGTGACATATCGCTACCTCGCAGGAATTCCTCTGCCACGTAAAAGTAGGTACCTGTACACAGGTGATAGTCCTCTGATGTTGGTCTGTTCCACAGTGACGTGACTGAAGTGATTTCTGTCCACAGAGTATCTCACCATCGGTCTGTCGTCTGTCAAGAGGAAAAAGGGGAACTACCTTCTGGAGACGATCAAATCCATCTTTGATCAGTCCAGTTACGATGAGCTCAAAGAGATCGTGGTCGTGGTCCACCTGGCAGACTTTGACCTGGTCTGGTGTGAGAACCTGGTGCAGGAAATCACCAGGAAGTTTGCCCACCACATCATAGCTGGACGCCTCCTGGTGATCCAGGCTCCAGAGGAGTACTATCCATCTCTGGATGGCTTGAAAAGGAACTACAACGACCCGGAGGACCGGGTCCGTTTCCGCTCCAAGCAGAATGTGGACTACGCTTTCCTCCTCAACTTCTGCACCAACCTCTCCCACTTCTACATGATGTTGGAGGACGATGTGCGCTGCTCCAGGAACTTCCTGACGGCGCTGAAGAAGGTGATCACCTCCAGAGAAGGTTCCTACTGGGTGATGCTGGAGTTCTCCAAGCTGGGCTACATCGGGAAGCTGTACCACTCCAGAGACCTGCCACGACTGGCTCATTTCCTCCTCATGTTCTACCAGGAAATGCCCTGCGACTGGCTCCTCATCCACTTCAGGGGTCTGCTGGCCCAGAAGGACGTGATCCGCTTCAAGCCCTCGCTGTTCCAGCACATGGGCTACTACTCCTCCTACAAAGGAGCGGAAAACAAGCTAAAGGACGACGACTTTGAGGAAGACTCCATAGACATTCCTGACAACCCTCCTGCCAGCCTTTACACAAACATCAACGTCTTTGAGAACTATGACGCCACCAAGGCTTACAGCACCGTTGATGAATATTTCTGGGGGAAGCCTCCGTGCACCGGCGACTTCTTCGTCATCATCTTTAACAAATCAACTAAAATCAGCAGGATTAAGATTGTGACGGGAACAGAGGACAGACAGAACGACATCCTTCACCACGGAGCGCTGGAGGTCGGACAAAAGTCTGTGGACACTAAACAGGGACGCCAGTGCACGTCCTACATCACATTAGGAGAGTTTAAAGGCGGGAGCATCGAGGTCAACAACGTGGACCACAAGATCGGCTTCGACATCGAGTGCGTGCGAGTTGTCGTCACTGCCAGTCAGAAAGAATGGCTCATCATAAGGACGATCAGTTTATGGACCACACAGCCTGTGAGTCAGTTTATAAAGTAACATTTTTAAATAATCATCTGTACGTACTGTTTTGGATTTCTGAAGTTCATTTTGGACAAATTCTAGGAAACACTTGTTTCTGGGATTCAAAGCAATCCATATTTTCTTGGGTTGTTTAGAGACTTGCTGTAAGTTTCAGTGTGACGGATTAAAACCATAATTCTGTACAGTACGGAGCCTTTATACGTTTGTTCCTTTTCCTAAGTCTGTGTATAAAACTGTTCACACATGGCTGCTTTCTTGTTTTGTCTTTACCTTAAAGGCCTTCACAGAATCTAAACTCTTCTAAACGTGCTGTTTTCTCACATTTTTATAACTTGATTACAGACGTCTCCAATCACACTTTTTCAAAACAGAATAATGAAGTGAAACAAAACCGTCGGGACGTACAGGAAGTGATGCATCCAGACTTATTGATCAATAGCTGCTTTCTGTGCAGCGTCTCTGAGTCTGAGAATGAACGAGGGGCGGCTTCAGTGCTGTTCCCTACATCTAGAATTCAACATCACACGAGAGGAAACCTGAGGAGGAAAAGTTTTAATGGTTCATTAGCGTGTCCTCCTGTGTGATTCTGTCAGGTCCTGTGAGCAGCTGAGGAGGAACCATCAGAACGAGCCCGAGGACCTGATGATGATATGAGAAGTCGTAATTACATCTCCCATCTAAAACTGAGAACAGGCTTTAAAAAAATCATGAATTTCTTCAATCAAGTAAAAAAAATATTCACTGTTTAAGGAGAGTTTTGTCTCCTATGACTCAACAATCAGACAATAATTGATTATAAAGGCTGTTGGTCATTTAACCTGTGTTGGAAACAGCTGCACAATAGAATCTGGAGTTTGCAGGCCAACACGTCACCAAACAGCTGATCCTGATGACATCATTAACAGCTTCATGTTATTTGTCATCACTTTTAAAATTAAATCACAGAAAACTATCTCTTTATTCATTAGGCCACGTCTGCAGTGTTTAATTTGAGTCAGTCTGAGCTCTGACTATCAGTGTTTTATAGGAATTAAAGGCTCCTGATACACCTGCGGGTTATTTGGTGTCGTCTGCTGCCATCTGCTGGTAAATTAACAGACCGACACAAAGAGCCTCTGAGAGCTCTATAACAGTCACCTGTTGAAATATAATAAAATGTCTCATTTTGAAAGTGTAAAAACTAAACCTCATTATAAATCGTTGGCGTCAGTGTTTTACTGACTCACCCTGGTTAATATCCAACTCAGTGATTTATATTTTTATTTGTAGAAATAAGATTTATTATAACATTCAAACAGGTTAGTACATTTTAGATTGCATGTAGATGCATTACTCAAATTAAATTAATTTAAATGAAATTAATATTAAGTTAATGACACTTCTGTTTCCTCAGTCTGAACTCTGTCTCCGTGTCTCTCTAAACTAGAAGAAGAAAACAGTGACATTTACCTGAGAAGGCGTCCTGCTCTTTGTGGGTCACTTCTCTAGAGTCAGGTCAGTTTTGTATTTACACAAGAAACACGCATTAGCCTCATCGTGTGTTACAGTCTGCACAACATACAACAGCCTCTGACTGAGGCCCTCAGTGAGCAGAAGGAAACATCAGCCCCCCAAAAACCTCTTTAATCAGAAACAGAAGTAAAGTTGAGGAGCGACAGAGGAGCGATTCTTCTTCAGACAAACAACAGGAGTGTGAACAGAGGAAAGTGACTGTGGGCAGAGTGTGTCTGTCTTCTCTTCAGGTGTCAGGGTTACAGGTGTCATTTATGAAGCTTCTCTGTATGAGTCTCCTTCTGAAGACAGAGGAGATGACGGTGGATTTCCAGAGGAACTCCGCCCCCATCACCCTGTGAGTCTCTGTGGAGTCCTCCTGCTTCCTGTAGCTCCATCGTCACAGAGGATCTCAGGCGGCGGCTGAACATCAGCTCCTTCATCCTCAGTTCCTGCGTCACCACCTGTTCACTGTAAATCCTGATTCACATATTCAACTTAAACCTTTTGGAAACAGCTTCACTCAAAACTTTTAGTTTAGTACAACATAGTAACATCAAAGTTTTGAGTTCATATGAGCCTCGTCTGACAGGAAGTTTATATCAGTTCAACAGAGCGTTTAATTCTTTCATATGAACATAAAAACATTGAGTAAACATTTTTACAAGTCCTTTATTTTGTTGAACAACAATATATTATGGTGAGCAGAGGTTACTTACTTACAACATTAACTGTGACCCATCACATCCACTGTGAAATACAGAAACATTCATCACTGTATAACCTCAGTGATTTACAGCACATTTATACAGTTTTCTTAAACACATTGTCTCAGGGCATGCTGGGAAGCTCCGCCCATTTAGCCCCAACACGCCACAATGTGTTACATGCACAATGACAGTGTTGTTTATTAGGAGAGATCAGCTTTATACATTTTAGTCAAATTAACTCAAGAGTTGTTGATTTAACATAAAAAATGATGTCGGGCTCACAGTGATGAGTTTTTGTGTCAAGTGAACATGAAATTTTTATGTCATGTTGACAATGCAGGGCGTCTGCGTGGACTTTACATTAGAGTGTTGGGTCATAGATGGATTGGGGGGTTTACAGTGCACGCTGCTGCCAAAGACAAGAACAGACTGCAGCGAATCATTCGCTCTGCAGAGAAGCTGATTGGCTGTAATCTTTCGTCCCTCCAGGACTCTTTGGTCGGCAGGAAAGACTGTGGCTGACCCCACCCACCCCGACACAAACTCTCTGTCACACTCTCCTCTGACAGGAAGCTATGGGCTGTCAGGACCAAAACCTCAGGCCTCTGCAGTCAGACTCATCAACAAGAGTCTCAACCAACATTAACACACATTGGACTAAATTATTAAAGTATCAGATATATTGAGCATTTATAAAGAGCTCAAGTCTTAACGACCACTCAAAGAGCTTCACAGCACAGACACCATTCATCTCATTCACACACAGGTGTCCGAGGCTACAAGGTGCCACCTGCTCATCAGATAATCACTCACAAACACTCTGACAGGTAGACTGAAGTGGTCTGGGATCGAACCATCAACCTATCGACTGGTAGACAACCTCTTGTTTTATCTCCTGAACCTCAAAGATCTACTGTATATTCTCTTTATTCATCTTACTGTGAACTTCTGCACGTCCTCTTCAATATGTTTCTGCACATTCCTGCCTCTTTTATTTGAAACAGTGACACTGAACATATTTTAAACTGCTTTTTTAATATTTGACTTTTTACTTTTCACTTACTGACTTTTACTTTACTTTTTATTTCTGTTTCTTGTCTGTGCACCAAAACACCAAAGCACATCTGCTGTAAGTGAAAACCTGCCTGGTAATAAACTGATTCAGATTCTCTGACTGTGTCACAGGGACAGTTCACTGAGACGTAGCTGAAGTTTCTTCCTCTTGAATCTTTTATCATCCTCTTTATACCTGTCCCTCCCTGGGTCATCTGCTCTGCTGCTGTCGTCCAATTCAAATGCATTTACCTCATTTTATTCCTCTGCTCTTTGTATTCTCTACGACACAGTCTGAATCAACCTCTCTTCATCCTCCACCTGCAGGTAAACAATAAATACTGATGGTTTAGTATTTGCTCTGTGATCAGAGAGAGTCGTGACACGCAGTGAAACAGCCATTATTTTTTATAAAGCATTCATTTGTGCTCTTATTCCTATAATGTGTGAAAATATTTGACACCATATAGTCTGACAGCAGAGATCAGACTGTGGACTGAATCAAACAAACAAACGAAATATATTTTTGTTTCTTTATTTTAATTGATGATAGATTGATTGTTCCCTGAGTCCCACTGAGATTGAGATCTAATTTTCAACAGAGACCTGAGAACAAAGTCTCTGGTTCTGGACTGATCACAGTTTTTAACTATTGTTCTGATGAACTCAGTTTTGATTGGTTTGGATATAGAAATACAATTTAACCTAACCTGGCAAAAATGGCTTCAGATTATGGAGACATTTTGATAAAGACTATCATTCAGCGTTCATTATTAATGTGGTCATATAAGTCACATCAATCATACACTGTCGTCATGACAATAAATCTGTGTCTACAAAGTTTACTGGATTAACTGGAAAACATTGGTACATGCAATAAAAAAGTTATTTTAAGCTTATTGATGCATTGTTTACATCCAGCCCATTTATTTATGCTGAATAAGTATATGTGATTCATTTTGTGAGGAAAATGAATGTAGCCCTGAACAATCAGGGACCTTAAACATGCGATTACATATCAGAATATCAAACATACAGAAAGCCTCAGGAAAAAAAAAAAAAAAAAAGATTAGTCTTGTGCATGTTCAGGTCCTGAGACAACATTTTAGCTTCCAAGAGGAAGGTGCATAGTTACGAGTTTCATACCATTTAAATTAGTTAATCTGAACAGAAAAGTTTCAGTCAGCATAATTATAATTATCTTGTACACTGTACAAAAAAACAACAACTAAGAAATGTTTTAAATAAAAAGAAATTATGAAGAAAACCCTTGACCCAGTATTTATTTTTGTAAACACCGTATGTTTTTTAATTTTCTGTAAAACCAGTTTTTACCTTTTATTTATTTATTTATTTGCTGATCCAGTATTTTTTTTTATATTTGTTTGTAAACACAGTATTTATTTCTTTACGTGTTTATCCCACCAAAAGTGAAAGGTACAACGCGCTGTTACGTCATCAAACTGCGCCTGTGTTGTGTCAACACAAACAGCCAGCGGTGAAGTTTGGACTCGTCCCTCTGATGCAGTTCAGTGTTTGGTGAGAAAATAAGCTTCTGTTTCATTTCACATCAGGACACAGCGTCATATTAATATTCCTCAGCTTCACCTACAGAGGCTCTGACTTTATTAAATCAGTATTTACGGAGCAAAGTGATGCTAAAGCTCGTTAGCAACCTGCTGTGAGAAGCTAATGTTAGCATGTCGTGTTTGGACCGAGGTTCAGCGGATGGTTATAAAGTTTGACAGGTGATTTGAACAGAAGAATAATTCTGATATTCTCTACAGTGACGGTTAAATATTAAACAGTCTGTCCGTTAGCTCACTGATCGGTCAGACTTTAATATGAGATGCTAATGTAGCTGAAACTGTTTGTTTGTCTGACTTTCCGTTGGAGATGAAACCTTTAATCGCAGTTTGTTTATTGCAGAGATTTTATATCTGACAGCTTCAGACTGTGTTTAATAATGTACAGTCATGTTGTCAGCTGTCAGTCAGCGGCTACAGGAAGTCTCCACGTGACTTACCGGACGTGTTTGTTT